GCCACTTGAAGAACTTTGGATTCTGTTCTAGCCTAATGGAAAGTCATTGGTAAGTTTTGAGCAAAGAATTTTTAGATGTGAATTAATTTTTAAAAGACCATTCTGGTTACTATGTTCAGAATGGGTGAGGGGTTAAGAGCAGCCACTTAGAAACAGATGAGAAAGGTTTGGTGGAGTCAATATGAAGTGGCTGGCTTTGGAGGTCGAGCTAAAGGATTTGCTGATGAGGATGTGGAGGGTAGGGGAAAGGAATCAAGAATGACTCCTGGGTCACTGACCTGAGCAACTGTGGTTTGCGTGTCAAAGATGGGAGAGGAGCAGGTTGGGACTGGAGAATCCTCCCACTGAGGATTTTCTAACTACCACGTTCTGCCTTGGTTCACACCGTCACCTCTAGGGCTGGCTAGAAACCCCACGCATCGTTCACAGGTAAACAGCCATCCACCATTGGCCATGATTCCGATATCCCTCAGACGAACTCCTGGACAGGCCCCGGAGGAGGAAAGGAACCCTGTGAGATGCCTGCCCTCACTCTTCCTTAACAAACTGCTTTGGCTCCTCCTCCGTCAGCCTCCTGCCCCACCCCAGGGTCCTGAGGAACACACTGGAGCCAGATCCCCATGCCCCTCTTCATTCTGGGCCTGTTTTCTTGTCTCAGAAAGACGCTTTGTGATATTTGATCCCCCCTAAGAAATGAGACCCAGTGTGGAGAAATGACTTACCCACAGCCAAAGAAAGAGAATAGGACTAGGACCTACAGCTCTCTAATGTGGCCAGTTGAGACCTTTACACAACTAGGTGCAATGAGATGTTTTTATCTTACAAGTCTCACTAGACTATTCAGCAAACTGCTTTGTCTTGTCCTTCTGTACTTCAGGAATGGGAAATGAAGAAGACCTAGAAAGAAGATGAGAATTTTATCCAAAGGAAATATCAGCTTGTCCATTTAAGGCGGAAATGCTTTTTTCATCACAAGGAGATATCCGAAGACTGAAAGTAGCCCCTACTCTCCGGGGCACCCAAAAGACCAGCCTTTATTGTCTGCATGATTATAGGGGGTATAGGGAGGGAAGAAGTAAAGCGAAGAGGGAAATGAAGGGCATCCCTACATAACTTTACAGAGGGTGGAAAATGGGGGTGGAGGGAGACAGAATCTGCGTAGTTGTAAAGGTTTTGTTAAATGTCTTTGCCTTCCCTTCTGAAGAAATGAAAGCACATGTGAATAAGCCATTCCATCCCATTCTCAGCATGCCATTCCCCAATCCTTAGGGCAAAAGAAGGCAGTGCTGAATCAACAGTGGTGCAATACAGAGAGAAGACTTGATCATCCAATCACACTCGTGCCAGTTGGATTTGTGTCTGCATTACTGATAGCCTCTGGGCAAGATAAATAGACTGAAAAATTAACAGAACTATCCCTGTCCGCATAAAGGCAACAAAAACTATAGAGGACATGCAAATCCTACAGTCCTTCTGCATCTGCTTTAGGCAGATGCAGCTATTGGAACTTGATTTGAGTTGCTTTCATATCAGAGATCTGAGTAAGCAGCAGGTAAGGCTAGGTTCAGTAGCTGACATTTTAAGCTCAGAGTGATACTCAGTGACAGGGGCATGGATTGCTAATGTCCACAGGTGTTGCAAGCCTTTCAGGTTAAAGTCATTTGCTGTCAATTTAGTCCTCTACCTATTTTATATGACACTCCAGCTCCAGGAGTTATGATTAGAAATGTGACACTCTTTACATATTTATCCTTATCTTACACTCAGAGGCCCACCTGTGTGCTCTTCCATACCTGCTCTCAGGAAAACAATCAAGGAGAACCAAGAGGACAGTGGCTCATTTCTGCCACGAGTGCCTTTTACAAACACTTGATACTTTTTATAGAGGAGCAAGGACCTCAAGTTCTGGGCAGTCTCTTTACTGTGACACTCAACACTGTCGGCACTTTATAAGTCTGTAACACATTTCCCTACACCAAAGATAAAATTATTTAGCCATTTGCACTCAGAGGTTAGCTCAAGGGGCGAGAAGGGAAATACCATAATAACCTCTGGACACTTTACTAGAGGTTTTACATATTTTACCTTGCCTATGGCTTTACATACTTGAGCCTCATCCAAACTTTTCCACCCTCTGAGGCAGCTGGAGACCAGAGCAAGAAAAATAAGCCTGACCCAAAGTACCCAGCTAGTCAGTGGCAGAGCATGAGGCTTAGGGCTGATAGAGCCCAGATTCACACAGGGCTGGCCTTGAGCCCTGCCTCTGCCACTTAACAGCTGTGACTTTGGGAATGTTACTTGACCTCTCTCATTCTTGTTTTCCTATCAAAACCAGGTTAACAATAGCACTCTCCTCCCAAGACTGTTGGGGGAATTCAATGAGATAATAATACATGGGAAGAATCTTGCGCAGTGTCTGAGAAATATTCAATGCCCAGTCAATAGTGGTTTTCATTATTAACTGGATAAGAAATGTCTAACTCAAAATCCTGTGTCCTTCCCACTGAGGAAGAAATGACTTTTGCCTGGTAATTACAACCAGCAAAAGCTGTAAGGCAACCAATCTGTAACTGAGTTTTCATCCAGATTCCATCTGATTATCTTCAATGACAAAGGCACTCACATAATCTGGATTGTCAATATACTTTTTGAAAATGCGTATCTGGAATGTCACCTGACAACCCAATTGTGCCCTCTTTCCCATGCAGTGATTCTGAGGCTAAGTATCTTTTTCCACCAATAGATCTTAGACTCTTTGAGAAGTGGGACTCTAGGAAATAATTGACATTTACTGAACACTCGCCATACACCAGGCACTATGTTAGCCAGAGCCTGCTTCACAGGCATGCAACCCGTGTGGTCATGCTTAGCAGGGCTCTGTGCTTGGTTGATTGCTCTGCTGCTGTACCCTTAGTATGTTTAGAACAGGGGGCTCCACATATTCCTTTTGCCCTTTAACTTACGTAGGCAGTCCTGGTGCTGACTTTCCTAGGCATTATCCCTTTAGTCTTCACTAAAATACTGTGCGATAGGTACTATTATCCCAGTTTTCACAGTACAAGAAATGGAAACCCAGAGAGGTTAGGTAACTGGGAGCCAGCATGTGAACGCAAGGTCTGACCCTAGAGGCCTTCTTTTCAGTTCCAAGGCTCCATTTCATCCATTTCTCCCCCTCCCCTTGCACCGCAGCATTCAGAAGCATACTGGCACTTAATAAACGGATGAATGAATGGATGCATGTATGCAACACATTGTAAGTTGGGCAGCTAAAAGTAGTGTAAAGAAAATGGCTAAAGCATAGATGCCAGTACCTGCTTGTTAAATGCTTTGGTTGTTTGTATAGGCTCATGAATGTGAGGTGGACTTGAAGCAATCCTTCCCAACACTGCCAGATGTTTAAACTATCAGATTTCAAGTGCTACTAATCCTCAGTGGGAGACCTTGAGCAGGTTTACCAATCTCTTGGAGCCTTAATTTTCTTATATGTAAAAGGCAATCATAATCCCCTCTTAAGTCATGTTGCTCTTTTCCTAAAGCCAAAAGGAAACATAAAGTGTTGCTTCAACATATCTGAGCTGGGCCTTGAATAGAGTATAAACATGCAAAAGATTCCAGCTCTGTCCTTATGGAACTCACAGACGAGAGAGAAAATGTGTCCCAAATAGCTAAAATACAAGTAAGCTATGTCATGGCAAATGCACACAGAATGATGAAAGCACACTTCCCATCACTTACCTTTTTCTTTCTTTTTTTTAAACGTCAGGGACTATCCAGTAACTAGTCTGGCAACTCCAAATGCCCTCAACCCCAATCATCAGTTCATCCTCACATCTGGTCAGCTTTCCATACTAAATCTCTAAAATACAACCACTTCTTTCTGTCTCCACTCATCTTCATTAATTCATTCAACAAATATTTATTGAGCAACGATTGCACTAGATGTGAATGAGACAAACATCCTCATGAAGTTCACACTCTATTGGGAGAAAAAGCAAAATAATAAAGCAAATAAAATGCTAATATGGAAACAAAATGCTGGACACACCTAAAATAGCAGCTACTTTAGATAAGGTGGTTACAAAGGTCTCTGTTGGGCAAGTCACCAGCATGTTTGCATGTAGTACTCCTCATAACTTGTTTCCCTACCTATTTCCTCACAGCCTGCAATCTCCTCCCTACATTAAATGGTCCTTTAAACATGTAAAGGCTTTGTAGTTCGCTCCACTGCAATCAGAATGAGACTCAAGTTCATTACCAAAAACTGTTGAACTACATCAGGGCACTGACCATTGAAAATGAACAGACAAAAAATCTCTACCCTAATGGAACTCACATTTTAGTGAGGAGAAATGAGGAAACTGGAAAGGAAAAAGCAGAGAAGAGTGACGGAAGAAGGAAGGGTGTCAGGCTCTTTTTTTTTTTTTTTTTTTTTTTTTTTTTTTTTTAATCCTTTGGGTGAGCTGGCCCTGCCTAACTGTACGTCTTACGTTGTCCCTCCCCTTCCTCCTGTATCTCAATCCCTTACTCGCAATACTCTCCCTCTTTGCTGGGTCTTTGCAGAAGCTGCTTACTTCTACCTGAACTACTTTCCTGCCCTTTCATCTACTCATTCTTCAGCTTTCAGTTCAAATATTATTTCCATCAGGAAAACTCCCCACATTCGGCCATATTGTATTCTAGGCGCCCGCAGCACCATGCCCCTCACCTTTAAACCTCGGTCCTATTTTGACTTTATATCGCGTTTGCCCTTGTTTGTTGTTTATAATTTCACATACACTTCAAAAGGGTTCATCTGGGATCCCCCTTGTTGGCCGCGGATTCCACGGCTAGCACCGAACCCACATCGTTGTGACAACAACACAATTACAAGCGGAACACTCTTGAAGACCGGAAGTGTTGCGCCAGGGATGGAAGAGCACCGCGCACCGGAAATGAATGTTAGAATCCGGCATCTCTGAAAGGGAATCGCCCGCGGGGGCTGCCGGGAAGCGTGGTTTTTGAGCGGGCGTATCTCGTCACTTGGAGCTCGTGAGCGTGCGCTGCTTCCATCAGTCTAGGTCCGACATGGCAGCGCGGTCCTTGTGGGCGGTCCGGCGGCGGGTGCAGCACCTTTTGGCCTCGCGTGCCACGTCCGATGGCAGGTAAGCAAGAGAGGCAGACCGTGGGTCGGGGACTTGAGGACAGTGCGGGGCGAGCGAGCCAGAGGGCCAGATGTGGGCGAGAGGACCCATCAAGCCTCTTGGCCGCTCTGATTAACCCCCTCAGGTACTCAGCGCTCCATTTCACAGAGGTGCAAACTGAGCTCCACAACCGCGCTTCTTTGTCAGGAGGAGAACTTGGGAAGATCTAAGGTCACATCCTGGGAGGTGGGAAATCGTTTCATCCCCGAGCATTGATTGAATTGGGCAGGTACCTCTCCTGGCCCCTCCTTCCCAGCTGTGGTGTCTGCAGGTAAATTGGGAGTCTCTCCCCTGACGCCTGTGTGACTTTAGGCCCGCCCTTTCTCCCATTACCCGGGCTTCACTTTACCTATCGGGAAAGGAGGGCTTTGGATTTGATCTCTCCCCATAAGGCCCTTTCACCTGCCTTCGGGAGTCTGTGAAGTCACAGTTACAGTTTTTTATCAATGGGCTGCGGCAGTTCTTATTGATCATTTATAAGCATTGCACACTATGGGTAAATATTTTCATTAGGCCCTGTTTAACGGAAGAAACTAAGGTTTGGAAAAGTTGAGTAACTTTCCTCGATAACCTTCGGGAAATGGTGGAACCCAGACTGGAAACCAGTGAGGGCTCCAGAATCGGCGCTTTCAATTAGTAAGCAATTAATTATTTTACGGAGCTGTTCCCTGTTGACGACTTCTTCCTCGGAAAGAATAAAATAGAGCTGAGTAGGCGGGTGGAAAAAATTGGACGTCTGAAATGTAAATTAATCCGCGGGGGATTCCGAGAATTACTGTATGCATAACTATGTCACCTTTTTGTCTTAACACACCTGACCTAGCACCCTGCCCTAACAGCTGGGTGAGAGGTTGACCTCAGGGTTTCGGGCTTTTTTTTTAAATCACTATTAATTTTGTAAAGTCTTTGTGGCTGTTTGTGATGCAGGGAAGTGATCAGAAGAAAAATGGCTCCTCCTGATAAAATTAACCCCCTCTCCAGAAGCAGTAGGAACTGAAAGGATCCGCCACAGCCACCCTCTCTTTCACGACTAGTGTTCTGGCCATTTTCCCTTGAAACTGGCCCTGAGAATATTTTTACCTACTTTCTATTGAATAAATGTGGCTTGTTAGGAGTTTATGAGGAAGAAGTCATTTCATATGTATAATCTGACACCAGATCATAACCGATGAACTCAGGAATGGCCTGGAAAGTCTGCGAATAAAAGTTGTGTTGCGCATGCCCTAGGCTGGCTGTTCCCTCTTCCCGTTCTTGAAGCAAACTCTTTTACCCTCTTTAAACCTTAGCTCAGGTGCTACCTCCATGAGCACTCCTTGATATATGCCAGTTTATGTAAATAAACTTTTTTAAAGAGCTTTTGTACTCACAGGCTGATTTTCTTGATAATTTGCTTAACATCAAATTATCCAGGAGGTGTATTGGAAACTTCACTGAAGGAGGGGCAGACCTCCTACAGTTACAATCCAGGATCTACAGACAAGTCCCTACTCCAGATTTCCTCCTGCGTAAACTGAAGGAAATGAAATGTCAAGCATTTTAGCTGTTATAAAATTGTATTATAAGCATAATGGAATGCAAAGATGTCTTTTATTCATCTGTTTAATTCACAGTCCTTAATAGTGTTTTATGCATATTTAATTGACTTGATTTTACATATATGTGAGTTACCATCTCAGAATTTTTCTTGTTCAGCATAGGTTCTCTTCCCTAAAAGTCTTCCTTGCAGCAAGCAATCAAGGTTTAGAACTCTAGGCCTAACTTCAGTTTGATCAAGTCCCTTTACCGAGCTTTATTTTCCCCAGCTATAAAATGAAGGATTGAGCCAGAGCTGTATGGCTTTATGGTTTGAATTCCCCCTATGATAAATGCCCCGCTGGTTCCGAGTATCAGAACTTGTTTTTTTCCTGCTAATTATTGTGTCCCCATTTCTGGCTATTTCTACTGCCTGGACACTTCCTAGCTTCATAGAATACTAGCAGTGTGATCCTGAACAAGTCTTAAGCTTCTCTGAGCCTCAGTTTTCTCATCTGTAAAATAGGGATGCTAATAGTACTTATCTCACACATTGTTATGAAATGAAAGATGATTTAAGTAAAACTCTGAAAACAGTCTCTGGTACTTAGTGAGCACTTTATAATTGTTCATATTGTTACTGTGACTGAAAACACTCACTTTATCTAGAGTTCAGTCTGGAAACTTTCTGATCTCTGAACTTTGTTGTAACTTTGGCTGTTAATCATGGCATTCCTTCATCATGCACTACCTCCCTCCCACTTTAGGGGATGTCTGCATCCTTTCAGCACTGCCACGCAGAGCACCGCTGGTGAGGACTGCAGTTCTGAGGATCCTCCTGATGACCTTGGGCCCTCTCTTGCAGAAAGAGCCTTAAAGCTAAAAGCTGTTAGACTGGAGAAGGAAGTCCAGGATTTAACAGTGAGTAGATTTTATCTGTTCAAAATTGATTCCTTTCATTGACTCTTTACTCCTCACCCCACTTCCATTCTCTTGCTAGGTATACTAGTCAAATAATCTGTAGTAGTTGAAAAGTTATCACTAAGGATAGTCATCTCTTTCAGTTCCCTGTTGTGTTATAGTCCTTAGGTATCTGATATTTTGGTAGCTTCAGAGGAAGGACAATGCCTGGCATGTAGTTAACAATAATATTTGTTGAATGGGTGAGGTCATTTATCATTCTACTCTGCTGATCAGACTACCTTTGGCATACGGTGCCCAGTACTGGGTTGACAAACAAACTATAAGGAAGATAGATATTAAACTAATTACAAGCAAGACCAACCGGAATGGTGAGGTTGGACAGCATGTTTTATGAGAGCAGTTAAAGGAACCAGGGAAAGAGAAAAAGACTAAAGAGACTAAAATAACTGCCTTCAAACAGATGACACATTTTCTTAAATGTAATCTTAGTTGTCTTAGAGTTCAATTCCATGAACAGAAGTTAGACAGTGGCAGTGTTGGCTCAGTGTGAAAAAGAAAGCTTTTTCTGAAGTTGAGCTTGGAAACTAGCAGGCTAAGGGGCAGCCTTTCGGGGCTTCTATAAAGAGTAGATTCCTGCTTTGACTGGGCATTTGGAGAAACTGATCTAAGATTCCTACAACTCTTTTTTTTCTTTTTTTTTAATCAAAACCCTGTCATGAGAGTAAAATTTGTAATACAAGCAAAACCATTCTTTTCTACCAAAAAGCATTTGTTTTCTCATTTTGACTTTGCTTTTGATGGTCAGGTGAGATACCAGAGAGCTATAGCTGATGGTGAAAACATAAGAAGGCGAACCCAGAGATGTGTAGAAGACGCCAAGATATTTGGTGAGAGATTTATTCACAATAAAAAATACCATTTACTTAAGACCACTTACTAAGAGTTCTGCAAACTGAACATAGTGAAAATGTATCTGAGTCCTCAACTCATCCCTACCCTACCCTGCCCCTCCCTCATTCCCATAGGCTTTCTGTGCTGCTAATAGGGAATGTTGTCAAGTGAACCATTCACTAAGATAATGCTTGTCTTTAGTTTGACCAAACCTTTGTAATTTTCTTTTTCAAGCATGTACATTTAGCATTCTAATGCTTATACAAACAATTGTATTTAACTCATTAACAAACAAGTGAATCATCAAGATGTTCAGTGGAGAATTAAAAAACAGACACATTGGCAATCAGGGTTGCTGAAATTTGCTCCATAGAAGCAAAATTGATCTGTATCTATCAATAATCAATTGTTTCTCCACCAGACAATTTTTATGATTGTGGACAAGAATTATTTGTATTAGTCTCAGTATTTTTCAACTTCCTAAGTTATAAAATAACTCAGAGACAAAAGCTTGGACCACATGGAAGCAGAAAACCTTGGAGGCTGTGCTAGATCACATTAATTTTCATTGATGACATTGAATAATCTCTTTGGTCCATTTCAAAATGTTTCAGAAATTTTTCTGTATATGCACCACATCGTGTTCCAAATGTATTCATGAAAGTGTTAGTTGAGTAACAGGGCTTCAAGGGTAAAGGGCAAATCTGTGATTACTTGCCAAACTCACAATTTAATATGTAACATTTTACTTTCACTACACGTAAAAGGAAAGTGCTTGAGGGCCCTTGGATTCTGTTTAGTCCAATCTTCTTTTACAAGGAAGGTGACAAAAGTGAATTTGTGATAGATGTAGACATGAGCTCATTGTCTCCTGACCCCTCAGCTATTATTCTTGCCCAGTGTCACATAACTTCCTTCTCTCTGGATTATGTCAGTTTGTACCCAGGTTCACTTCATTCCTGTCCTGTCCAGCCCGAGGACTTTGGCATAGCCTTCTGCTTTTCTTCCTGTGCTGTAGACGTCCTGTTTCAAGCCTTCAATTACTGGCTAAGTACTGACCCCCAAATTGTATTCTTGATATTTCATCCAAATTATAGTCTCTGATTTCCAACTATCAGGCCTGACAGATTACAGCCTGCAATCCAAGCCTGCCACATCCTGGTCCATAAATAAAGTTCTGAATTTCATCATTAAAAATTCATAGAAATTTTATTTTCTTTTTTGTTACATAATCACCTACATAAAATCCTTGATTTTGCCTCTTGCCCCAAAAAATGTAAAATATTTACTATATGACCCTGGCCAGTGTGGCTCAGTTGATTAGGCATCGTCCCACAAATGGAAAGGTCATGGGTTCGATTCCCAGTCAGGGCACATGGCCTGGGTTGCAGGTTCAGTCCCTGTTCAGGACACGTACAAGAGGCAACTGATAGTTTCTCTCTCACATCCATGTTTCTGTCCTTTTCTTTCTCCCTTGCCCTCTCTCTAAAAGCAACACACATGTCCTCAGGTGAGTGTTAAAAATGTATGTGTATTTGCTGTATGGCCCTTTACAGAAAAAGTTGGCTGACCTCTGAGGCACAGGGAATTTTTGTAGTAAATAAACCAATCGTGACGACTGGGGAAGACTTACTACCTGCGTGAGGGGAGTGGGGTGAGTTGCTTACCAGAAAGCAAGCTTTGAGTTAGGAACTGGCTCATATCAGTTTCCTCAAGAATTAACAAGGTTCCCAGAAACAAGTACACATTAACGAAACTCAAAAGAATTTAATAGGTAATTTAATTTATTAACAGAGCAAGATATGTCTCGCAAAATAGGCTATATAAGTCATTTCCTTAGGTCATTTCTTCCTTGTGACCAGGAATACTTAGAAAATTGAAGATTGCTCAGTGAGCATGAAGTATGAAACAATTAGAATGCTTTTAAAGGACATGGCATGATGTCTGTTCTTCCAGGGATGGTTTTGTCTCAGTAACCCACTTTCTCTTGAACAGTTCACAAAGGATCCTTTTTTTTTTTCCCCCTAAGAAATGATGCAGAACCAACTGCTTTTGAAATAACACAATAATTAGAATAGAATGAAGGAATGAAAAAGAACCTAGGCTTCTAATTACCCAAATTTACACAGTTTTACTCACTGGAAGCCAGGGCTCCTTGCACCAGGGCAGTATGCAAGTCAATCCCAGAAGCTTACAGCGTTCAAAATTCTATTAGAATCTCTCTCTCTCTCTCTCTCTTTTTTTTTTTTTTTTTTGAATAACCAGGGATACCTTTCATGTTCCTTTATAAGACATTCTTTTCTCTTGGGTGAAGTGCTGATCTTACAGGCATCGTTTCAAGCCCTTGGCTGAGGTCTTCTACTTTCACGGCTGATCTCATTAAGAGCCATTAATATTTTCTGGCTAACATCCCTAATGGGGGTCAGGGAAGGATCTTCCACAACTCGGATCATGCCAAGACCGGTTCCTTGGAAATACCTCGTAAGGCCACTCTTTCCTCTCCATTGCCTCCTCTGCCTCAGACCATGCTGTAACAAGATTACTTCAATTGGCTCCGCCAGCTTTTCTGAGCTGCAATAGGTCTCTTATTCTCCCAAAGTTAAAGCTGGAATTCCTGCCTCTCTGTCAGTTGTTCCTTCATCTGTAGTCTTTTTTATTGCTTACTTTTGGTGGTATTCTTATTTCCTCTGAATACAGTTGAGGTAGCTCCCTGTTTCAGCACAGGGCCTTGAAACTCTCCCTGGATAAAAGCCAGATCAACAAAGTCCTTTGCCCTCACCAACCCCTAGCAGGGCATTGGTGTTATCACAGACATCTGTGATGGTGACATTCCTTATCCTTTTTGTTGGAAAAATCAAGATGCAGCATTGGGAGTAACGAGATTTCTCAACAACTGAGTTTGCTTTTATCTTGTAACAGTTGATGTGACTCTAAAAAGGTAAAGCAAGTTTGGCTCTTCTCTAGAAACTATGTATAACTTTATAGCAAGCAATTGGAGACTCATCTATGGATGTGTCCTACTTTCCTGTTCCCATGAAGCCAGTCCTCAAAATAAACCACTCTTGACTCCCCTTAGTCTGGTGTCGTCAGCTACTCTTTTATTAAGTCCTCCTATAACACCTTATCCCTGTTGAGAATGCATGCCTCAGCATAAGAGACGGACAGGAATTTTCAAAACATACTTAACTCAATGCTAAAAATGAATAGCAACAAAAATACAAGAAACATCAAGGTGGTTTTAAAGAGCCGGTTCCTGAGCCTGTTGTAAATAGTTCTCGGGTTCCGTCCTCTTCCCTGTTTCCTAGTAGCCTCCTAGAGAAACTGGCTTGTCAGTTGGGTTGATGATGATCCCTGAGTCCTGTGTGGCAGCCTTTCCACTTCGTAGTCACCTCTCTGGGCTTTCCCCAAACTACTCCCCTGAAGGCAGAGTGATTTCCTCACAAACAATAAAAGTGTCTGGTTTCTCCGTAGGAATTCAGAGTTTCTGTAAGGACTTGGTAGAGGTGGCAGACATTTTGGAGAAGACTACAGAGTGCATTTCCGAAGGAACAGAGCTTGGAGACCAGAAGCTTACTCTAGAGAAGATCTTCCGAGGGTTGTCACTTTTAGAAGCAAAGCTGAAAAGTGTGTTTGCCAAGCATGGCCTGGAGAAGATGACCCCCGTGGGTGATAAATACGACCCTCATGAGCATGAACTGATCTGTCATGTGCCGGCTGGTGTGGGGGTGCAGCCTGGCACGGTGGCGTTAGTAAGGCAAGATGGCTACAAGCTTCACGGCCGCACCATTAGACTTGCCCAGGTGGAAGTGGCAGTGGAGTCCCAGAGAAGACTGTGAACGGGCCATGAGGAACTGAATGTTCTTCAGAGTGCAGTCGCCTGTGTTTCCTTTATTTATTAAACTAGGTTTGTATTGTACATGAGCTACTTCATGTGATCTGTTTTGGATTTAGTCATATTGGCTTTATTTCTAAGATACTGTATTGATTTAATGTGACCTCTTTGGTCTCATCAGAAGTCTTGCCATTGGGCATTTGAACAATGTGACAAGTGTTCCTATGGCCTTTATCAAAATATGTTTAAGAAAATTATTTTTAAATTAGTACTCTGGTGACTTTCAATCCAAAATCTTTTCAAAAGGTGGAAATGAGTGTGTGTGTGTGTGTGTGTGTGTGTGTGTGTATATATATATATATATGTTTATGTGTTTTCAACTGATTGTTCCTTTCTAATAGTCCCTGTAATAGAAATTGTATAGAATCTTGTATTTTGTGGGGAAAAGGATTAGCTCAGCATTTAGGTACTTAGATGATGAAGCTTTATAGTTGTGTGAATTTAGATCATTTGGGTTGGTTTTTATTCATATAGATTTTCAGGACTTTACGTCTTTTTATTTTATTTTCCTTTTAGCCATTTTTTTGTCCTTATAGCACCTACGAGGTAGACTTCATATTCACACTCATTGTCTTCTGATTCCCATTTACAAGAGCTAAAGGCCCAGGCAAGACATGAGAGGCAGGGAACATTGAGAAATTAACCCAGTTCCCTTTATGTCACATGTGTGTAAGCACATCACTCCCCTTTCATGTATTGACCTAGAGTAATGAGCCTATATGTCTATTTTTTGTCATTTCGGTCTTGCTTCTTATAACTGGTATTTAGTAAAAAGTTTGTTCAATATGTGAGTTAGTGAATGGATGATACATCAGACTTCAGAAAGGAGATCACTTATGGCTATTTTCATGCTAGAAGAGGCCTTAATGATGATCTAATTTCACCCTTTCCACTTCTGAAGTATGAAAACTGTTTTTAGAATTGGACTCAAAAAATAAATCTGTAAAACTAGTAGGCTAAATTTCACTGAGAACTTGAATAAGGAACAACTAGATACCTACTTTAATCAATTAAGATTCAGTAGCTCTTTGATGAACATGCAAAGGTATACCCCGCAGACAGTTAAGTGTTAGCTGTCCGGATTGCATGGGTTTGGGGTTTGGTTTATTTTGTTTGGGTTTTTTTTTTTTTTTCCCCTTGATTGTTTTAGTTGCATAGGTTTAGGTTTAAGTTAGTTACCCATAAAATAAATCCATTTCCACTGGAACCCTGTGACCACTTTCAGTGGAGTAGTAAAAGTTATCCTCTTAGACACCATATATAATTCTAGGACACTACACAGACTAGTATAAATAAAGCCATCCCCCAATGGGCCCTACAATCTCCACCAGATGTAGACACTTAAAAAAAAATGCACACTTTTAAAATGCAAACAAAACACTGGTGGTAAGATTTTTAAACCAGAACCTGTTGGCATCCCACTAAGTGCAGAGTGTAAATTTAATAAGTAGTCAGATTTCACAATAGAAATTTATCTTTTCTTTTGCCTGCATTCCTTTGAGACTGACAGATGGTGACAACAGGAAAATGAGCCAATTATAATTATTTGTGTGTTCTTGGATTACTAGCTGTCATTACCAGTGAATTAAAATAACCATAATTTTAGTTATGGAATGTTCTGATTACTTGAAGAGTTTTCTAATATTCCTTGTAACTTCCTGTTTTAGCTAGTAGATTGAGAACAATTTTAGATGCTTACTCAGTAGTTTTGCAGACAAAGGTGTAAATTTAGAAAATGGAGCTATAACAGTAAGAATCTCAAAAAGTTGAAGGGCCTTTGGGAGCTGGAGCAGGGTGGTCGAGCACAGGGCTTAGACTTGGACACAAATCCCAGCTCAGTCATCTCAGTGTAACCTCAGGCCCCGTTCATGTCACCGTTCTGAGCCTGCTTTCTTAGTTGTAAAATGGTTATCATTTTCTTACAATACTGTGAGGATTAAATGAAATGTGTAAATTGCCTATTATAGTAGGACCTCAAATATTTATTTTTAATTGCTTTTTATTGTACACATTGTTTTTCCTACATTTTTCATAGCTACCTAAAGTTTAGGAAAAAGGGGAATACTGGTTAAAAAATGTTAATGATTAAAATTTATAGGCTAATCAGAGTGACTTATTTGTCTTCCAGCTTCTGGTTGTTTTCATTGTTTGTTTTTTTTTTTCTGTTTGTTTTGTTATGTTTTGTTTGCGTTTTACCACAACACAATAAATCCATGTTTTTAGACTGAAGGAGCAAGAAAACTGTTTTGGTGCTTTGAATTATTTTCATCTTGATAGTAATGTGAAAAGACGTTGGCTTACAGAGGATATATAAGGAAGCTTTGGCTCACTTGAAGAGGGGATCTTGGTGTTTTAGTACCTGGATTCTGCAAATCTTACAGATTTTCCTCACTGCCATAAAAGAATCATTTCGTTTGATACTAATGGAACTTCTTTGGTGCTTCCATGGCAAAGGATTTGATAAGTGAAGCGAGACTCTTAAACACTAAAGAAAATCAAGTAGGGAAAACTAAGGATGATATAAAATATTCAGAAATAACTTAAATAAAACCCGACTTGAAATAACTGCAGTTCGCGTTTAGTGTCTTTGTTTGCCTGATTCATGTTGTGTATTGACATGCTGTCATCCCTTCAGTGAATGCTGACCCACCTTGTTTGGGGGGCAGTGGAAGCAGAGATTCCGCAGCAATCCAGCCAAACGGATGCAACGTGGACATTCTGCACCCACCTCTGGTGTTGAAGTCTTGACTATTCTTGCACCTCCTGACTTGTTTCTTTCTGATTCCTATGTATTATTTAGATCTGGAGTCTTGTTTCCGCCTTCCTCTCTGGGATTGCGTTATTTTCATGTGCTTGCTTCTTGGTGATAATTGTCTTACCGACTTGAACCGCTTCACTTGAACTGCCGGACTTTTGACCATCGTTTAAACCAGATTACTAACATGAGACCTTGTTCTGCCATGTCCTTAATCTTGGCCTGGGCTTGTCTTTACCTCTGCTCAGCTGGCTTCTACACACCCAGCCCTCTGAGTGGCCCTCTTTAGAGCCAGCCGCTCTTGCAGTTAGGCCTTGCATTTTTATTCTTCCAGTCTTATCTGCACACTCTGGTTCCATAACCCATCGTTTCCTATATTCTCAGTCTCAGTCAGCAAGTAATTTCTTGTTCCTGTGCACTCAGACTTTGTCCACACTCTTAATTTCACTATGGAGATTTTAAAACAGCTCCAAATCTTGAATTTGAACTTTGTGATTGACCAGTAGAATATAGTGGAAGAGACACTGCCAGTTTCAGGCATAAACCATCCTATCTCTGGATGCTAACACTTGGAACCCAGCCATGAAACCAAGAGCAAGCTGAAGCGGCCAGTGGGATGGAACTGGGGGCCCTGGCTAGGCTTTCAGCTGACAGCCTGAACCACTTTGCCAGCCATCTCTGAGCCATCTCGAAAGCGGATCCTTCAGCCCCACCTGACACCACGTGGAACAGACAACCTGCCCACAGCCCTGCCCAAACTACAGATTTTGAGGCAAATAAATAATTGTGACTTTGAGCCACTAAGGTTTGGGGTAGTTTGTGAGGTTGGGTAGATAACATACCCACCCTCACTCCCAGTCTCCCTAGTTGTTCTACACCTCAGTCACTAGAATTATACCTCTTGGCTTTTCTCTTACAGTGCTTTTGAACTTGTCCTACAACTTTGATGTACTCACATTGCCAATGTGTTGGTAGGATTGGAAGAACTTCCTAACAGAAGAAAACACAGCTCTAGAGTCTAGAGTTACCAAAGACCCTGAAATTAAAAGCAAAGTAAAGAGAAGTTATTCTAATATGACTTACCCTACCAAAACAAACAAATAAACAAAACCTACACAATTAGATTAGGTCAGCACATAAAAGAACTTCACACAAAGTTAACAATGAATGCTTTGTTCAAAAACAAAAAAGGAATGCTTCGAGTCTTTAGAAGTGAACTTAAAAGGTTTTGCATTCTGACACAAATATTGCCAAGAAGTTTTATTTGTTTTTTTTATTATGAGGAATGCACTTTTATCTACCATTTTACTAGTAATGCAGTTTGGCCCTGTTAAATCAAGACTCAAAGATGACTCAGGACCCCAGCTATATGCACTTCTACTGTTCTCTGAATCCCTTCCGTTTCTTCTCTTAGCCATAATCTAACGGAACAAATATGGATTTTACTTACTCTGAAACTCATTCCCAACTTTATTTTCTGCTAGAAGAAATCTGTCTTTCAGTGTGGTAAACTAGCCACACCGACTGGTCTTTTTTTGTTAGAGGGTGAAAGTGGGAATTTATTCCTTCTTCCCCTGTGAGTAGAGAGTGGATGAAGACCTTTTGTTTTTTGGGGGTTTTGGGGGGGGCGGGGGTTTTTGTTTTTGTTTTTTTGTGGAAAGCAAAGCTAGAAACTGCAAATAAATTCTAACAACAGTCTCAGAAGCATCTGGCCTTATTTCAGCCTATGCATGGTATAACCCCGGCTGCACGCCTGGTCAGCAATTTCCAGCGCTAGCAGACACTGCCAACCATTTTCTCATTCCTTACCTTCCGTGATTGTCACAGCCACCGAGAAAGGAAGAACAGCCGAACTGAATGAGACATAGAGAAGGCACGTTACCGTTAGTAACTGTCAAAGGTTGGACTTGAACCGAGGCCATCAAAGCTTCAGTTCTTTCTCCTCCACCAATCTCCCCGCAGCAGGACCTTGGTCCTGATGCTGAGCATCCGAAGAATGCACACCTGCCCCGAGCACGTCGAGCCAGCCAATGAGGAGCACACATTCAGGAGGCGGGACGGAGAAGCTGCCAATGACAGAGCCTTCCCGGAGAGAGATGCCGCTAATAAGGGCCTTGTGCTGGAGAGGGACGGCTACTCGTCCAATGAGAGGCTGGAAACTTCTAGTCTAGAAGGCGGGACGGCCAGTGGCGCTCCGGGGCGGGGCGGTGAACACAGCGCCTGCATGCTAGCACCCCAGCCCCGGCATGCTGCCCCCGTCGCCGCCCGCCATGGCCCGCGCTGCCCGCCTCTTCGCCGCGCTGGCCGCGCTGCTCGCCGCCGCCGCTGCAGGCGGAGACGCCCGGCCCAGTAAAATCGGTGCGGGAAGGACGCGATGGGGTGCTGAACTGGGGAGGGCTGCGCGGGAAAAGGGTTCTCAGCCGGCAGCAGCTGGGTGGGGGATGGGGAAGGAAGCGGGGTGACTGAGGGGTCCTCGGAAGAGGAACTGGGTGGAGAAGAGGTAAGGGACTGCGGCGGGGC